GCAGCGTCTCGTTTTCCGACGTGACTGCGCAACGCGTACTGCGTGTCTCCCACTGGACGTCCACCCCTTTGCATGGACTCGGACCACCATCTTTCATTTTATACTGCAGCAACGGAGGACGGCCTCCCGCGACCGGCAGGCATGCTGCCGCGACGGAAAAATGCCGTCGCTGTTCTGCGTGAAGCCGACTGGAATGCTTCCACCTCGGTGTGTGCAACGCCTCTGGCCACTGTGACCACACGGTTGGATATGCACCGTGCGAGCGGCAAGGCGCACCATCCCGCGCGGCAGCCGTGACAGCCACTGATGAACCTGGACGGTCAGAGCGGAGCAGGCCGAGTGTGTTGCAGCGGCAGCATGGGACGCGCACACAGCCTCACCGGGAGGCAGCCTGCCCCGAGCTGAAGATGTCCGCAAACGGGAGTACCGCAATCATGCCCTCTGCCGTAACTTCTCCATGCTGCTTGTGGTCCGTGCGAAGGAGCTTGGTGCCCTCTCGATCCCACGCCTCTGATGCCGCAAGGCATGGAGGCACCGCGTCCCTGCCCTCTGGGATCGGCCGTGCCGCGGTACTCTTGGGACCGCGTTTGTGCTCTGTCTTGGCTGCAGGAAAATTTGCTTGTCCGTCACACTGTCCGCGTCGCACGTGCTGCGATCCCCAGTGCTGTCTGCACAGTTTGTGCTTGCGTGTCCCCTGGTGGCTGTGATGTGGATGGGTCCTTCACGCCGTATGCGCTTGAATTCACCATCCGTCACTGTTTGCCTTGCTTGGCCCCTGGCCCCGGTGGCGCATTGAATGTGTTTCTGTGCCATCTTGCACCCGCTGCCCGCTCCTCGCACAGAACGATGATCAATACCTCCCTCGCTGACGGCAGTCTGCGAAGTTCCTGCGAAACGGGGACACCACTCCCATCTGCAAACACGGGAAGGACACATGCCGCACGGAGGGAGTTGTTGGCCAATCCCGCTGCTCTCTGTCCTGCTAGGGGAGAGCGAAGGACTGGTCCACCGCCGCCTGTCAGCACTGCTGGCACACCGCCGATGCCAGTCTGTATCCACGCCACGACGCGCGGTGGTTGTATGGGGTTGTGTGGGTGGTGGGAGGGTGATGGTGTCACTGAATTTATTGCGTCTGCGCGGCTTTGTGTCGGCGGCTGTACTGTGGTGGGGATTGTGTATGACCGGATGCCTCTGCTTGTCACTGTGTTTGGTTACTGTTGTTCTTTCTGCCTTTTATTATTATTTATTTATTTTTTTTGAGCGTGCAGTTAGAGATACTTTGGCTTTGCCAGCACAACTATCGTTTCAAGGTGTTAGGAATTACTCGCAGTATTAGGATTGGTAGTACTGGGATATCGATCTGGCGGAATCGTGTCACTGGATTCGCCATCTGTAGGAAAGGATTTGATAGACAGGAGGAATGGTCGACGGGACGAGAGCGACACAACGCGACAGCCCTGCTGATACGTGTCTGGGTCGGTGGATGCAGTCTGCTGTGGGTGCGTGTCCGCGCAGCCGGCACCGTGTGCGGCGCAGGGCCATTTTGGCTGTGCGTGTGGCGCTGCTTGTTGTGTTGGTGCTGGCTGCAGCTGCTGCGTGGATGCCCGCGGTGCATGCGGTGGTGTTGCGACTGCGGGGCGGCACGGTGGACAGAGCCATCACGGTTGGCCGCGCCGTGGACACGGTGCTGATGGACGGCGTGTCCATCACGAACGGCGTGGCTGTGGTGTTCGACGTGCCGGCGATGCTTCCCGGTGCGCTGCGCATCGAACTGAGGAACTGCGTGTGCGACGGCGGTGCGCGGATCTACGTGCGGGGCTACAGCGGCGAGCCGGCGAGTGACCGGAGCCTGGAGGTGAGCGTGAGCGGGCTGTCCGGGAGCTACTGCTCGCTTGTGTTTGTGCACAACCTGCCGGCACACACGAACGTGACGGTCCGTGACTCGACGATTGTGACGGCGGGGCCGATGCGCTACTCGCAGCTGAGCGGGCTGACGGACGCGGTGGCGTCGCCGCTTGTGCTGCACGCGACGTCGCTGTTGCAGTCGCAGCTGCGTGTGAGCAACACTGTGCTGAGGTCGTTGCAGGCAGGCGGGTCGGCGGTGTACGTTGGCGGCGGCGTGGACCTGCTGTCGGGCGCGGTGGTGCTTGACGGCGTGTCGCTGGAGGCGTCGGGCGGTCTGACCGCGTCCGCGATGCGTGTGGCGTCTTTGTCGCGTCTCAGTTTGCGGAGCCACTCGGTGTTCTCCGTGACGGACGTGTCGGTTGTGAGCAGCGGCGGCGGCATTGTGCTTGGAGAGCGCCTCGCGGTGTTTGATTCGGTGCTGCGCTTCGTGGGCGTCGAGGGGTCTGTTGCGTCCTCGCTGGTGCTCTGCGACGGTGGGATGATCGGTGACGGCGGGTGGCTGGAGCTGCGCGACGTGTGGGCGGTGGGCGAGGCGTCGTCGGTGGCGTCGCTGTCGGGTGTGATGCTGAGCGGCGGCACCGTGTCGATTGCTCGCTGCGCTGCCACCGGCGCGACGCTTGTCTCCGGGCCGGCAATCACGAGCGGCGTCGTGTCGGTGCAGTGCAACCGTGCCGGCGGCCGGGTGCTGCAGAGCAGCGGCGACTACCGCTTGGCCGGCCTGCCCTCCGTGAGCGTGGTGCCGTGCGACGGCTGTGCGGCTGAGCTGGCGTGCTTCGATGCGCTGACGGCGTCGTTCTCCGACTGCGTGTGCGGCTGCCGCGCCGGCGGCGTGGGCGAGGCGTGCCTGCCGTTCGACGTGCCGCCTGCGAGGACCGGCGGCGGTGGTGACGGTGCGCAGGGCTGCGTGAGTGGCGTGACGCTGACGGAGTCCGTGACGGCTGGCGGCGGGCGTGCGACGGCGTGCTTCGACTCGGTGGTGTTCAGCGGACCGATCACTGTGGCGGTGGACCTGCGCTCGATGGACGCGTTCGCTGACGCACTGAACGTGACGCTGCGCCACTGCGTGCTTGCGGGCGGCGCGCAGCTGCGGATTGGCGGCCTCAGCGAGAGCACGGCGCGCCTGATGCCGCACGCTCTCGTCAACATGACGAATGTGACGTCGCTGGAGGGCACGATTGTGCTGCATGGTGCGATGCCGCTGCGCTCGAGTGTGCTGCTGGCGAACTCAACGCTGCGCGCGACGGTTGGCGGGTCGCAGTACGTGCCGACGACCCGTGGCCGTGAGGGATCCCGGTACGGCCCCGCGCTTGTCCTGGACGGCGTCCGGCTTCTGTCGACGTGTTTTGTCATGACGCGGTCGACGCTGGTGTGTGGCGGGGGCTCGTGCGCTGCGATCCTCGTGGAGCGCGGCCTTGGCGTGAACCTGTCCAGCGTCTTCTACATGGACAACTGCGTTATTAGTTCGCGGAAGCACGTGATTTACGCTCTTGCGTCGGACCTGCGTGTTGTTAGCGGCTCCGTGTTCTCCATACAGAACAGCTCGTGGAGTGCGCCGAGCAACGAATACTACAAAGGCGCGTGTGTGTTCAGGGATGTTGTTGTGGCTGGCGGCAGCGTGCTGCAGATTGTGTCCAGCACTTTCCGTCTCGGCTTCGCCATACTCATTGCAAACACGCTGACCGTGACTGGCGGCAGCTGGCTGGTGCACCGCGACAACGAGTTCCGCAGCGCCTACGTTGTGTACGTGGCTGCCCACCACGGCATGGTGTTCCGCGATCGGAGTGTGTGGTCGATACTTGACAACAACTTCACGTATGGCTCGTACTCGACCTTTACCTGTATGACAACCAAGTGGTCACTACCATCCGACACGCGCCCGACCATCTACGGCATGTGCAACGAGGCAATAGGCTCACCTGTGACGAATTACCAGTACGACGTGAATATTGGGACGCCCGTGACGGTGCTGGACTGTGGTGCGTGCACGATGGACGCCGTGTGCTTTGCAGCGAGGACGAGCAGCATCAGCGGCTGTGAGTGCGTGTGCGCTGCTGGCGGCCACGGTGACACTTGTCTGCCGGCTGCGGTTCCGGACGGCCTTGGACCGCTCCCGCTCCCCGACGCGAAGGACACGGAGGTCCGCTGCGTGCACGGTGGCAGCATCCGCTCCGTGGACTATCCTGATCCCGGTGTGCGTGGTCTGTGCTTTGTCAACGTGACCTTCACCGCCGTGATCGTGCTTGACCTGTCACATTTTGACGTGCCACAGCAGACACTCAACATCACGCTGCTGCAGTGCGTCCTCATGGGCCTGTCGGTCAGGGGGAGTGGTGCGCGCGTGCACGTGAGCGTGACATCCTCGATACTGGATTCAGGTGCATTGGACTTTAGAAGTGATTTTGGCGCGAGCTCCCAGATACTGGTGGTGGGCAGTACGCTTGTGACGACGTCGAGCCACGCCATTTCCTTTGTGAAGTTTACTCTCAGTGCGAATATGGCGCTGCTGCTACTCGACAACTACATCGAGGCGAATAGGTACGCAGTCTATTTCTCCGCTGCTGTTGTTGTTGATGGTGGCGGGATCATTGTGAAGGGAAATACGCTGAGTACAAAGAAGGACGATGACAGTGTGGAATCATCTGTTTGCGTTAATTCTGTTGATGTGAAGAACGGCGGCTACTTTGACGTGGAGAACAACACGATGAGCTCGGTCAATGGCGTTATTTTTTTGGGGGATACTACCGTGAGCTCCGCGGGGCTGCTGCGAGTGGCGGACTGCACCTTCGCTGGTGGGACTGAATTTTTGGATCCCGCGCTGGTGTATTTGTCTGGCTCGGTGACCCTCGAGGGAGGTGCGCAGTGGCGTGTGGAGGGCAACAGCGTGGGTGCAGCCTCAGTATTAATTATTCCGCATCCCCAGTACAAAATTAAGTTGTCGGGCAGCGGCACCACCGTGGCGCTTGCACACAACCGTCAGGTGGACAATAGTTATCCCTTCGCTGATCTTTCTCCGCCAGACACGATTGTTGAGTTCCCCGCAAGGTTTGTGGTTGGGTGCAACCTGCAGGGCGATGAGGAGGTGTTGTACGACGGTGTGTTTCCGGAGGACGTGGTGGTGTTCAGGTGCGGCACATGCAACGAAGACGCGGCGTGCTACATGCTCGGGACGGAGTCGGTGGACCGCGGCTCGTGCTCGTGCAGCTGCAAGGACGGATGGCATGGCGCGTCGTGTCTTCCCTTCGAGGTGCCCGACACTGTTGTGCTGCCCGCAGCGGAGAGAGCCGTCGACGGCGACACGAGCTGCGTGATGGACCAGGCGCTGACGGACCTCGCGCTGAACATGTGGAAGACGCACCACTGCTACGTGGGTGTGATATTCAGCGGCGTGGGTGCCGTGCTGACGTTTTTCCTCAACAGCATGCCGCTGCATCTCCCCATCAACATCACGCTCACTGGATGCACATTTCGTGGTGGTGCCGCGCTGCAGTTTGTTGGGGGTGCGGCGGCGGTTGAGTCATCTGGTGTCCTGATCCGCGTGAGCCGGACGGTGATGCGTTCCTCCACCGTTGCTTTTATACGTGCCCTCCCGCAGCACTGCGACATTGCCCTCACGGAGGTTGACGCGGCGCAGTCCTCCGTGTTTGAACTGCCGGACACTAGGATGAACACGTTGAGCGTATTGTTGCTGAAGGACACCGTGTTGAGTGCGTCCTCGCTGTTGGTCAGCAACGTCAGGGCGCATGCAATGAAGCGTGATGCGTTCGTTGTGTACTCGACCGGGACGCTGTCGCTGGTGGGTGGCAGCTCGCTGTACGCGCGGTACTGCAGCTTTGAGGGATACACACATATGTTCTACTTGTACGGGCTCAGTGTGAGTGACCACTCCGTTGTTGCGCTGCTCAACAATACGATGTTCTCCGGGGCAAGTCTGCTGTATCAACGCAACAGATTCAGCGTGTCGGATCACAGCGTGGTGCGCGTGGTGGGGAACAGCGGCTCCGTGCGCTACGCCATCTGTAACGATGACATGTGGACTGTTCAGCGGTCAAGCTGGCTGGATTGGCGCGACAACGACGTGGTGGTGGGTGCGATGTTCTACGACAGTAGCTCCGCTTTTGTGAGCATTGACGGCAGCAGCGTGGTGACGCTGACTGGCTGCAAGATGGGCTCGACGGGGTTGTCGGTGTCCCTTTTATCTCGGGCTGACGCCGGCTACCGGTTCGTTGCTGGGTGCCTGACGGTCGCGGGACGGGAGGTGACGACGGCGGCTGAGCTGGAGCTGAGCGGCATCACCAACGTGACGACGGCTGCTGCGTGCGGGGAGTGCACGAAGGACGGCGACTGCTTTGCTCCTC